GTCGCCCTTTTCATTGGAGTCAGAAGCAAAATGGTCGACCGTAAAGGTATATAGGTCGACCACTTGATGGCGGTCATTAACAAAACAGTCGACCATTTACAGAAAGAGGACCAGATAGAAGAGAAGTGTTGTATCCATTTATCCTTCATCATTTGACGTAAAATGAAGATTAAGTGTTGGTTTCGCGGTCGACCTAATCCGGTACGAGGTCGACCGAATGCCCTGCGTCTTTTTTGCTTATGTATGTCGATGTGGGTGGTTCTTTTGCTCGTGCAAATTACGTTTCAAACCAACAGAATCTGTCATAAATAATGATAACAAGGACTCATAACTTCCACGTGGTCGACCTTTTGAATCACGTACAACAGCAACCGCAAAGGATCTTCTTCACAAAAGCTCTAACCGTAAAAAAAACCTAATTAAGAGTTTCGGTGGCGGTGAAGGTGACATATATTCGTATTTATAGATATTTAGGACGAGAATGGGTCGAATTAAGTGGTAGATAAGTTTGGGTTACCTTTCTGGTGTTGGAATCCTTATCCAATACGGATACGATGTGCACGCGGTCGACCTCGTACTTATTCGGTCGACCTCAGTTAATCAAAATGGTCGGCCTATGAGGTATTTGGGTCGACCTTTCATTCTGTTCGCTTCCCAAAGAGGTCGACCATTTGCTATAAAAGGTCAACCGCGTCGTTGAACCTCACGAAACTGAAACGGCATATTAGGTTGATCTAATCCTATATAAGGTCGACCTAAAAGTGCAGATTAGGTCGACCTAATCCTATATGAGGTCGACCTAAAAGTGCAAGTTACGGTGACATGCATATCACCGTAACAAAGTCCCGTTGCCACACATCTATTTGTGGGGCTAAAAATACAACTAGAGTAAGTCAAAGTGATATATCTCTTTAAAAAATTGAATATATAATTTGGTCAATCTAATTTCAAATTGGATTGATCCATCCAACATGAAATCATTTTGACCCAATATCCAGTTAAACCATATTTCCAACACTGGATTAAGTAAGAGTTGCGAGTTAATTAGTTAAAAGTTAAAACATCGTAGGAACAGTTTAAGAGAAGAAAAAGTAAAGAAAAAAACAAAAATGAAAAGAGTCATCGAGCTCTTCCTTCAACTGACCAACTCACAATAGAAATAGAATAGAAGTGGAGGAGAGGAGAGGAGAGGAGAGGAGAGCTGGCAGAAGACGTGATCAACGGGAAGGTTGGCTTTTGGCTCTCTCTCTCTCTCTCTCTCTCTCTCTCTCTCTGCCTCCTTTACTAAAAGAAGGGAAATCAGAAAAGCTTTTGACTTTACAAATTTTAGTAATACTAGTGATTAAAGTTGGTATTTATCCTATATATAATAGTGGTTGGCAACTTGGCATATACTTAATTAAATAGGGAAGGAAAATGATAAATTAGGTATAATAGTTAATCGGATATGAAAAATAAAATATATTTAAATGATTGTGATTGACCTTTCAAATATTCTATGTATGATTTATTAGTTGTTTATTCACATATTCAATGTTTTTATAACGATTTATGTACAAATGACAATGGTTCATATGATTTGCCCAAAATTAAGGATGCATTTGTTCAAAATATTGAACAAATTTCAATAAAATCATAGCTAATTTATAAATATAATTTTATTTCAATCAGTGGTAGGAAGAGTGTAACGGGCGGCTCATTAGGACAAATATGAGTAAAATAGTATAATAGTTAATTGAGAATGAAATTAAGGCACTTCTAATTGAGAATGGTTGACCGAGAGATCATGTGTTTGAATTTTGACAACCCCATTTGTTAAGCACGTATAAGTTGGTTTTCTTTAGCGGGGAAGTGTTAGTAAATACTTAATAGTATAAGTCCATTATTAAATCTTTCACAACAACTCGAGTTATTGTCACTAAACGTTTTTTACGATGAACATCATTCAAAAGTAAATGTCTAACTAAATCATTGATAATTGGTTAATAGTTGATACATATAGAGTGTGTTATTCTTGATAGTTTCGACATATATTTAATTTACCAAGTTTTTATAAATAAAAATTATATCATAAATTATTTAAAACGCTAACAAAACTATTTTATCGTATGTATTCTTTTCTAAATAGACCCACCCTCGATAAAATCATGGCTACGTCCCTGTATAAACCATCTTAAATTTTGAGTTTAAACAATTGAAAGTTATAGTATAGTATCATATCCAAAATTTAATGTAGAGAAATATAATTTATTAACTAAATCTTTCAAAATCTTCAAATTATTGGTCAATCCTTTCCAAATAGTATTAGCTAAGTGTTAACTTTTTGTTAGCAACACTAACGTAGCAAAATTATGCTAAGTTAGAAGAGACGTACATGTGGTAATCAACATTCCAAAATTTTAATATTTAAATTAAGAAAATCGTTACAAAAAAATTAAAGATAACAAAACATTACTAATATTTTGATGTGTTAAAAAAATTCTAATATTTGCATTTCAAAAAATTTATCTAATAATTTGAGGAATTTTACTAATAAATTTATACTCTTTAATTTAATTTAATTTATTATCTTAATCTGAATATCTCACTAGAATCATTAGGAATATCAACAGCTGATAGAGGGCAAGGCACTTTAATAAAAAGAAAAGGAGCAAGCCAAAAGGGAACCAGTTAAGAAGTGAAAATGAAGTGACATGACCTCAAACGAAATCACTCTCCCAATTTGCATCCACCACATCAGACATAATCATAATCGCAGGGTGGTAAACGGTTATCATGTTAGTGATATAATCGATAGTCGAATTGAAATTGATAGTTAACAGTTACGCTAATAATTGATACAACAGTAAATTGTTAGAAATAAATTTTTTAACGAGTGCCGATTTGAAAAATAGCTAAATCAATTAGGTATTTGATCTAACTAGGATTTAGAAATGGGAAGGGAGTTCAAGAACAAGGGAAAGGAAAATGGTGGCTAGGGATGGCAATGGGTCAGGTCGGGCACGGATAGTGCATATCCGTTACCCTACCCAAAGTAGTTCGGGTTTTACCCATACCCATACCCACATAAGAAATGGGTAGAAAATCAAAACTATGCCCGTACCTGTTCGGGTTTCGGGTATCCACGGTTATCCATGGGTACTAATTTGTTTTTATAGCTCCACCCAATATGTTAACATTCACACGTATTCTCACATTACATAAGAGGAAAAGTACGACCATAATTCACTAGAATGAAGAAAATTAATCAAAACAACATAATTTCATGACAATATTATATTTATATGCTAAATATAAAATATGTTAGAGAAAAATAATGATTATTTATATACAAAATACATATGCATGTGTATAATCGGGCGAGTTCGGGTTAGATAGTGAGAAATCCATGCCCATCCATTACCCGCAAAATTCGGGTTCGGGTTTTACCCGTACCCACAAAAAGTCCTTCGAGTTCGGGTTTTGCCCTACCCGATTAGGTCGGATTCGAGTGGATATCCACAGTTACGGATTTTTTTGGCATCTCTAATGGTGGCTGCTGCCGCAGCCCTTGGAAGAAGAAGAGAAGAGGGAGGCGTGGGAGAGTAGGGAAGGTAGGATGAGATTAGGGTTGCTAATTATATTTTGTAATTGCCTAATGGAAATCCCCACTAATTACGGATTATATAGCCCTATCAATAACGGTTCCATACCCGACTAAAACGACATAACAATCAACTCCCTGATTATTCTCGAAATTCCCCAAGTAATCCCCAAACATCTCAAACTGACAAATAATCTCAAATAACCGAAAACAACAAATAATAAGTTTCTAACATAAATGATAGGTTCTCGATAGTGAAATTTAGTTAATTACTAACCGACCCTTAAACGGTTAGTCATCAACGGTTAACCGACTAACCAATTACAACCATCCTTAGAGTTTGGGTCGAAAATTGTGAATTAGGTTCAAATGAGAATAATTTTCAGAAACGGATATAGAAATAGAAAACCAAAAAGTTGGACTCGAGCACAGTAGCTCAACAATAATTAGTAACTGTTTGAGCCCGATCGACTGGGGGTCGCTCGGGTCCAAGGGGTTTGGGGTGTCAGCCATGACCTTGAAAGGGTAGGCGCCCCTCCTCGTCCGAAGCAGAAGAAAAGAAGAAGTATGTAGAGAGGGAAAGTAGAGAGAAATTAGAGTAAAGAGTAGATGATCTTATTTATGAGGAGAGAACTCCTATTTATACACAATTGAGGGTTAGGTAGTGGTCTGGGCGCCTGCCAAGCCATAAATGCTCTGGTCGGGCGCCTCAGACTCTCTGACACTGTTCATAGTCCTTTTGGCAGAGGGTGTCCCCCTGCCCCTTGTCCTTGCTGATGTCAGGTGCCTGACCTTGTCTTTTGTCTCCCAGCCTTGTCTTTTTCCTCTTGTCTTCCTTTCTTCTTCATGCCATTAGCTATGGTATTAATCCCCTAATTACTATGATACCCTATCAGTAACATTAAAGCTTCCATGTAATTTCGGGGGTTTATGAGTTCAGTACCTAGTGTTGGATCTCTTATTCTTGTATGCTTTTTTAATCAAATTTGATTGTAGAATGGTGTATTGTTTACTTGTGTTGGATTGAGTTGATTATTGATTGATATCTATGTCAATTTTTTTTTTTTCGATGATAACAACTTAAAAAAAATAGAAGACTTACGTTATGTAGGAAATAATCTATTAAAATATACAATTGAAAAAAAGGAGATGTTCTGTTGGTTAAGTTACTAAACAGTTATTTTGGTATAACGGTGTTAAATCAGTTGCTAACAATTATTTAGTTAATGGAAAAATAACCAAGAATCGACTATATAATTATAGTTAATGATATAATATAAATGGTACAATTAACTGTAAGCACAAAATGCTTATTGCTTAACGGTTAACCATGAACCAACTAAACGGTTCCGGGTTTAACCGAACCGATTACCACCTTTACGTAATCATAAACAAACATGAAAACCGAAACAGAAAAGTAGGAACAAAATTGCTGCATAACCAGGGAAGACCATAACCAAAGAATAGATATTCCACACCTCTGCATTAGAATCAGAATAGTACTTCATCCATTAAAGTTGAAATAAAACAAAAACAAATAAGACCCTTTTTGGAAGACTCACCAGAGACCAAAACCCTCTCCTGTACATAAACCACCCTTTCTCTCTCCCTCTAAATCTAATGCACACCAGCCTGAAAATCAACATGAATATCATGAAGGTACCCAGGTTCGATCTTGCAAACATCTCTTCTTCATAATAATATATATATGCCAAGGCAATCCTCGGTTGTCCATAGTATCATATGCATCCCAACTGATAAAATGCACTTGCGGGAAAACTTTCCGGGTATGGGGTGGCCAATTTCCATGGAAAGCACACATTTTCCAGCCTTCTTTTTATACCTTCTCGTATGATCAGGTATGTAAGTTATTCAAAAGCTTGCAATATCTGCGAGAAACCTGAGTCTCCTTCCCTTTCCCTTTAGCATTTGTTGGTGCACACAGCTGGTTATCCACCTATCCTTTAACTTTTTCAGATACTACCAGCTCGCCCTCAGCTGACTCCTCCCCTTCCTTGCTTTCAAATTCTGCCGATTCCTTCATCGATTCAATTTCCATGCTTGCTGTTCGGCTCTTCCGATTTCTACGGTCCTGAAGAATTCAACACCCACAAATATCTCATGCATAACCCCTACCAAAGTGGATCAAATTATACAAAATACCAAAGTGCACAAGTAAATAGTTGTTGGCCGCTTAGTCTGCAAAAGCAAACTCAGACGAACTTCATTTACCATCTCATCTCAACCATTTCTCACTCTTAAAAGCAGACAAGATTTCATATTTCATATTTGAGAGGCTCATCCAAGGATTCTATCAATGAAAAAGTGCAATTTCTGATTGGAAATGATAACAAGGGCTAAACTTTTAATAGCTGAGACTTGGGATGAAACTATTGTGTGATTGGGTGGCACTATTCAAAGGTAACAATAAACAAGTTAGCAAGCTACTGCATCAATGAGGGGAAGAAAGTTTCTGTAAGCATACCTCACGGAAAGGGTACTCTTCAGCTTCAAGCATCCGCACTACCTGACTCATTTTCGGTCTCTTTTCCGAATCAGGATCCACACAGCGAAGTGCAACCAAGAGAGCTCGTTTTAGAGCACGAGTTGCAGGTTTTACTTCTAGATTTGGATCCACAACTTCGTCAGCTCTCCTTGTCCCTACCATCATCTTAAGCCACTCCACAAGGTTGACCTGTTACCGTAAACAAGGCCACCCAGAATAGTCAAGTCATTTGAGAAAGAAAGAAAGAACAGCTCTTTATCTTGAGAAAACCTAGAAAACCATATATTTGTCAGGAGCATGGATACCTCATTAGCAGGCCTTCCATAGTCCACAGGATCTCTGCCTGTGACTGCTTCTAGCAGCAGTACCCCAAAGCTATAAATGTCGCTCTTCTCATTCAACAAGCCAGTATTTGCATATTCTGGTGCAACATATCTGAATTCCACACAGAAAATGGAAAATCCGGGACAGGTTAAACTCCTATTCTTGCTTGAATCGAAAAGAAAATGAGAAAGAAATCAATTGCATACCCAAATGTACCCATAACTCTTGTTGTGATGTGACTCTCTCCTGCACCCAGGAGCTTTGCCAACCCAAAATCAGAAACCTTGGAATTAAACTCATCATCAATCAAGATATTGCTTGATTTTATGTCACGGTGTACAACTTTAGGCTCTATGGCTTCATGCAAATAAGCAAGCCTGCAAATGAGCCAAGGTCATTCCTTCATCAGAATCAGCAACCAAAATCATGGGGATCAGGATATTTAGAGTTGCTAACTTACGCCTTTGCAGTCCCAAGAAGAACTTTCATTCTAGCCTCCCAAGTGAGTATACCGCGATGGCGCATCGCCCCATGAAGCCACTGCTCTAAGTTTCCATTGTTCACATATTCATACACAAGCATCCTATATAACATGAGCAAGAATTAGGGCTGAAACTGTTAGGACATGCAGATAAACCTAATCTGTAATTACCCCACATGCCAAGACCTTATACTCATTTACGTTATAAGCATGTTCACAAAGGAACTAAATGAAGAGATGAAGCAAGATAAAACAGTGTACCTGTGAACCCCTTCAATACAATATCCAAGAAGACGAACAAGATTCTTATGACGCACATGACCAATGGCCTCCACTTCAACTCTGAATTCCTTTTCTGCCTGTCCCCTATAGCATAGTGCAAAGCATTGCAAATGATTAAAGATATATAATCATTGATCATACCAATTAGTAAAAAATCACACATTGCTTGTCGTTTATGCTTACACATTGTTGAGAATTTTCTTCACAGCAACCTCAGTTCCGTTAATCAGTCTTCCCTTGTAAACAACCCCATAACCACCCTCGCCGAGCACATTCTCAGCGGCAAAACGATTTGTGGCAAACTCAAGATCCCTAAGAGTAAACCAATGACCCCACCCGAGATGGGAGAATTCTGGTAAGCCAACCAAGGGTGAGGCTGTCACAAGTCCTGGATATGAGGATTGCTTCCTCACGGTCCCAGAGCTTCCTTCTTCCCCAGATTGAGAGCTAAATCCTTTCTCGTGATGAAAAACTGAGCTGCATTGACTGATGTTATCAGGATCACTTGATTTGCTCATCCCCAAGTGACCAATCATCTTACCTGAATTCTTATCGCTTGATTTATCATTGATATTGAGGAATAGACTATCAGGCTGATCACTGTAACTCTGATTAGCCCCAACCCTGTCAACCCTAATATCTTTTGAAACATTTGGTATCTGAGAGAGGGGATTCATTGATCTTCTAGATCTCCTACGAAAAGCCCATACTGACAGGACGCAAAGAATCAAAACTATGAATGCACCTACTGATATCCCGATCAACACATAGAGTTTCAAACCCAAAATTGATGTCTTCTTGGTCAACTCAGTATTCAAACTCTCAGACGACATTGCTGATCCTTCTCTGATTTGATAGAAACTGCGCTATACCTTCCCAATTCAGACAATAAAAAGATTAGAACATTCCCACCTGAATATCACAAAATAGTGAAATGAAAAAGGCAACACAATTTGAGTGTTTTGGTCGATGGAAATCAGGAATGAAAACCAAATGGACCTTGAACAATACAGCTAGGATGTGATTGTGCTTCTATGAGGCAAACCTTAACTCGTGACCGGGAAAGCAAACTCTGAAATTCAGTCATTCAACATTAAAAGGGAGAATGCAGGGACTAACTTACACTGAAGGAATCAAACATAAAAGAAGGAAAATAAGACGGAGAGTTGATAAGAACAGCAAAACCAAATCCCAGATTCAGAGTAATTGCACTACCATTCGCTGTTCCATAAAATGCTTCGCAGAGAATAGCATTAATCCTCCGAAGAGGGGTAAAAGGGAGAACAAATCGACAATTTTTCTCATGGAACTCTTGAACATAAAAAGAAGGGAAATTCATACCAAATTTCAACGAGGCAATGCTCAGTAAGCCACAGTTCCAAACAAGTGAAAAAGGAGTAAAAGCTCACAAGAAGCATCACTTAGGATCCAAGTAAGAGGCAGGTGAAAAAAGAAATTTGAGTCACTCAGAAAGAAGAGAAGAGGAAAGCTAGGAGGGAAGAAGAGCTTATTTTCACCTCGTGTGAAGAAATCCGGAAGGTGGGATATAGCTAGCCCCCTTGATCTTCTTCCTTGAGCAGCCAGAGGAGGAAAGAAAGGGCGTCTCCTTTATGAAGCAAGTGAGGCTCAATAAGCATAGATTGGCCAATGCAGACCTCAAGACCAACACGAACCCACCAAAACCCAGAAATCCCTTTGGTAAATAGCAACCCACCACCACAGTTTCAGAGAAAGATGAGTCTTTCGGAAAGCAACCCAAAATGTGGGCCAAAGGGACACAAATAAGGTGCGGAGAGAAAGGGGTAGAGGCCAGAAAATAAACGAACAGGGAATGCCAATCTTAGAAGCTAGACAAATATTGTACAATGGAGAAAGAAGAAGAAGGAGAAGAAGAAGAAGAAGAAGAAGAAAAAGGTACGGGACTGCTGCAGCAGCAACATAAATATGGCCAAAAAATAGAGAGAAAATGGGGGCCGAAAAGCAATACGATTGGGAAAGTTAGTTGGTGGGTCTGTGGGAGAGAAAGAGAGACGGAGCTCTCAGAAAAAAGGCTGGAAAGGGAAGGAAGCTTGGTTTGCAATGGAGGAAACCACACACAGAGTCGCACACATTCAGAAAGAGAGAGAGAGATATGAATGGAAGGAGAACGAAGCAAGAAAAGGTTGAAGCGAAGAGAGAGAAACAGTAAAGTGAAAGCAAAATTGAAAAGGAAAGAGGGGGTTGGCATTAATTAATTAACTGGGTAAAGTTGTGGAAATGAAATGAACCAAAAAAAAAATCCGCATACCGAAAAAGAAACAAATTAGAAATATATAATGTAGTAGAGAAGAGAGAGTCAAAACGAAAGTCTGAAAACCCAGCTGGATAAACTCCAAATCTAGCAAATTCCCATTCCCGTTCACTTGAGCAGCATGACCACCACCAGTCCACCATCATCACCCATGAGGGCTGCTCTTTTCTTCTCTGTTTTTTTTTTTCCAGTCTCATTTCGTTTTGGTTTCTGACAAAATAAGAGGCTGACTGGATGAGGGTGTCATGGGATTTTGAGAAAATCTAGGGGCAAAAGAAAAAGAGAGAACGGTACGTGACGTCAAAGATTTTTTTGAATGGGAATGTATAAATAATTTAAGGTTTAATACAACAAAATAATCTAATTTTTTATGGCCAAAATAATTACAATTTAAGTGACTTTTGACGAATCTCGCATCGATAATGTATGATTTATAAGTAAAAAACTATTATTAACTAATAATACGTGCTTTGGAGTGAAATGGATGGGTTCTTATTAGATGATTTTTTCCAGAAATACCACTAAAAAGAAAAAAAATTCCAAAAATATCACCCATGTCAAAAAAATTACAAAAATACCACCCTTTCTCGAAAACTTTGTGCTCCAAAATCCGAACATCATGATTTTTTTTTATTCCGCATAACTTTTCAAGTACTACAATTCCTGTTTTGAAAATTTTATCCTAGTAAAACTTGTAGACCTTAAAAAGTTATGTTGAATTAAAAACAAAATCATGACGTTCGGATTTTGGAGCACAAAGTTATGGCCATCCAAAGTTATTGAGGATTTTTAGCGTCCAAGGAGTAAAACTTTGTCAATATGTACTTGTGCAAAATTGTTTCAACAAAAGAGTTGTAGTCTGGTGGTGTAGATGTTGTTTTGAATTTAGTTAACTATTTGTTATATTTGGGTTCAAACCACCACAACATGCTGTTTTTTTAATCTCTAATAAACAAAAAGATGTTTTGAATTTAGTTACCTATTTATTATATTTGGGTTCAAACCACCACAACATGCTGTTTTTTTTAATCTCTAATAAACAAAAAGATTTAATATGGGATGATGGGGTTTTGAACCTAGGACTTCTTGCACTCAAAGAAACAACTAATCCAATTATGCCAAGACCACTTACCAATCATATGTGCAAAAAGGAAATATATAGCAAACCGCTGGGTGGGCATACGGTTTGCAATCAAACCGCCCCGGCCCCATGCGGTCAGTTAAACCGCTCACTACCCATGCGATTTTCGTCGAAAACTGCGCTCCCACCGAGCGATTTTCGAGAAAGGGTGATATTTTTGGAATTTTTTTAGTAATATTTCTGGAAAATTCCCTTATTAGAACACAAAAGTTACATTTTTTGTTTTGGGAAAAAAATCAAACCTTATGACGTTATAATTAAAAAGTCAAACCAATTTTATTTAAAAAAATCTGTGTATCTTATTACCTTTGTTAGGGGTGAACAAAGAGACCCGTAAATTGACCCACTCGTCTAACCTGACCCAATACACCCGTGTTTATCGCTAAAATTAAGATTTAAGCCTAGATGAGAGTTTTCTTTTGTACAACTTGCCTCTTTTGGTTTGGGTGTGGTTTTGGGTTACACAACTCGAGGAACCACACACAACCCGTGTTCCCAACGATTAGCATGAGTGAGTATCCAAAACATATGTGTCATATATAAGCATATTTGTGAGAAAATTAAGATATTTTACCATATTTCCCTCTTGTGATCTCCCTAACCTAATGCATTATTCGACTTAAAATTTAGACGTAGATTTAATATAGGTTATGATTCACATAATCTTTTTTCTTGTGTACAATTTTAAGAGAATAACATATTATGTATGCGTTCGTTTATAACCACTTTAGCTTATTTAGGCAAAAGTTTGTGAACAAAACTATTTGCTTGTTGGATTTGAAAAATGAGGGTTTTGGCTCAAAAAAACCTTTGGATTTATGAGGGATTTGTACCATCATGGATTTGAAGAGTCTATTGTTTGCATGATAGATTTGATGATATAATTATGATGGATTTGCTATAAATATAACTAGCCATCAAGGATTTACAAATCCCACCCCAATATGTGGGATTTACAAGTCCATGGGGTCCACGGATTTGGATCCAAAAAAGGGAACAAATTCGTGGACCCCACGGATTTAACACCTTACAACAAACAATGGACTTGGCTAAAATCCATCATGCTTGGGATTTGAGTCCCAAATCCATCAAGCAAACGACTCCTAAACATGTTGAAGCAAATCGCATTTCATTAAAATCGAACAACATCTTTGCAATTTGATCCTTTTCACATCAATTTATTAATTTGAAATGTTAATTAGTTATACAATACTGTTATGGTCTATAGTAATTGTTTTTTTATTATTGGCTTGGGTTTTTAGTTAAAAGTATCAACATCCCGACTCAACCCAATAATAAACAAACCATAGAGGGTTCTAATTTTTTAGGCGGATTTGGATTTAGTATTTTCAAAACCTTAATGTATGAGTCAGGTGATTAAAATTACTAAACCCGGACCATCCAACCCATGTACACCCCTAACCGGTGTCACTAGTCCACCACCTTCCCTTCGTTGACCAACTCTTCTCCACCTCTACTTTCTTGTTCATCTTTGTCCGCCTCGCTAATTTGGTCTATGTCGCGTGAGTTCTTCCCATCCGTTGAATTGAAGCTCCCTCTCCCTGTATTCAGGGGGTTCTGGTCATCGCCATCGTGCGACTCTGCCGTCATCGGCAATCCTATCTCAAATCTGCAACAGGTTGTTCTTCGGGCACTATATTGTTGAGGGGATCTCTTTCTATTGGAGCTTTTTTCTTATAGTTTTTGTTATCTTCTTTAGCTTTTGTGGATTTTCCTTTGTGTTTGAATTCTTGGGTGCGGAAATTGCCAATTGGAGCTCCACCACCCCAACATCTTTCTATCCATATTTTTTTGGCCTCGACTCTCCAAGTCGACTTCCCCTAGCAAGTGAGGCATTGTTGGAACTCTTGCTGCCTCCGCCTCTCCATCTGTTTTACCTTTCGAGTTCCCCCGTGAGTCTCATTGGAGCCCCCAACACCAATACCCATTTGAAAGTTCACGCATTTTCCTTTCATTTTGTGAATGCCACGCGTCAGTTTATCTTTTCTATCTCGCAAGCCACGATGGTGATACGCTGGGTTGGATTTTTGGTGGATCCTACTTTTTGCTTGTTACTCTTATCTTCCTTTATGTTATCTATTGTTGATAAGTATTGATTTGTTAGCCTAGCAAAAAAGTATTGATTTTTTAGTATTTTCATTTTTTTTAGTTGTACTTGTTTTTATCCACCTATTTCGAGTCTGGTGGGTAATGGGTATTTCCATTTATTTTGTTGATTTGATGATTTCTTTTTAGTTTAATTTCTTTCTTTCAGGTCAAAGTTCCTTTATTTTTCACTGGTTTGTTGTTTGCTTCGGCCTACTTCTGAATGGGCTTGATTTTTCTGATTATTATTTTGCTACATATGTTATTATTCCTTGAAGACAGATTATCAGCCATCGACTGTAAGTCATGAAGGTCTCGTTGGAGATGTTAACACAAGAAGATAGATGACTGGTTGTGTATTCACTCTTGGAGGTTCTGTTGTTAGTTGGAAGGAAATTTCGCAACCTACAATTACGTTGTCTACTAATAAAGTAGAGTACATGGCATTATCAGAAGCTGTTAAGGAGTTGATTCACTAATGGACGGAACTGCTATTTGGACCAGGCCGAACCAGACCAAATGGACCGAATTGAATGATGGTTCAGTCCTTAGTCCTAAGATGTATTTCACTAATGGACCGCGGTTCTCATGAGTTTGATCTAGTCCGAATCGGACCGTTGAACACCCCTAATTTTAGGTCATATGACATAAACATGACCAAAGAACGAATTTCGGGACGAATAAAAGCAAAAATGGCAAATAAAGGAGCAAAGTAGACAGAACGCGGTCGTGACACGGTCGCGTTCCTAACGATGTTTACTAACATGACCTAGGACATGGTCGTATTCTCTAGCATGTGCCCAAGTGTCCTGGAGATTGCTTTTAGGAACACGATCGTGTTTGTAGCCCGTGTTAACTGCTGAGAACCAGAAGCCAAAAGACGTTTTGTGGGCGCTTCAATAAGTCACGATCTCTGAACCGTGACAACAACACCAAAGCCATGAGTTAAAAAACAGTGCGTTTGAAGAACATAAAGGAACATGATTAGTTGACACGCCCGTGTTCCAAGGGCATGTTCGATCAAACTCTGAATAATTTCAAGAACAATGAGCATTGGGGAACACAGCTAGAGAACACAATCGTGTTTCTTGGCCGTGTTTGGCTATTTATGCAGACTATAAAGTTGTTGGTATTTTAGAGGGGATAGTTGGGTGTTCACCCAAAAACACCCAAGAGACGATTTTAGAGAGAGAGGGATCTAGGAGGGTTCTTGGAGCTATACTGGAGGTGGCAACCATCATTGGATCTTAAAGATCATCCCTAGAAGATGGAGAGTGAAGATCTTGTTCCTTATATTGTAATCTCTCTCCTCTCTATGGATTGGTTCTCTTCACTTACTAGTTATAGATTATAGATTGATTGTTGATGTTAGTGACAAACCCTATGATTGTGATTTTATATTGTCTATGGAATTGAGTATTTCATACAATTTTTGGATCTTATCTCATCCCTCTATTTGGGGCTTTTTGACTTAGGAGAGATACTATCTCCCTAGGTCAGTTGTATGGTATGCCTCTCCGGGTAGTCCATCTGAGGTGGGGTTGGATAAGTCGCATAGGGAGTCCAATCTAGTCTAGAACTCTCTGCGGTAGAAGTATCAAGTAAATCAATCTAGGAAGTAATCAACATTAATCCAATTGAGGAGCTAGGGGGATTCATACATAAGTGAGCTCCAAACTTGTAATTACTTAGTGTAGTGGTTAGATTAGCTTAGTTATCTTAGTTTCTTCATTACTATTCTTGTTTTGGTAGATAACAAACCAAAGTTGAAGTAACGGTACACCTTTTCATTGGTTATGTTTGGCCTTTCAATCGAGAGTGTAGTTTAGAGCGAGTCAAATTTTTGGCACCATTGCGGGAGAATTCCAGGTTATCGGTAAAATTCTTAGGCTTGTTATTTAGCTTTCTTTGCTTTGTTTTCTTTACACCATTGCGTATGGAGGTGTTTTTGCTTTGGTATGTTTAGGTTGAATCATGG